GAGAAAAAAGATAAACTAAGAAAAGAACAAGATGAGATCTAAGTAAGCTAAATTAAAAATAAAGAAAAAGAAAAGATGATATATGAAGAAGACAAGATAGAGAAAGAAGAAAAGTATAAATAAGAAATATTATAATAGAAGTGAAGAAAGAAGAAAATAATACAAGATATCAAAGAATTGAAGAGAATAGAAAGAGAAGTTTTTTTAAAGAAAAAAGAAAGCAATGCTATAATGAGGAGGACAAGGATTTAGAAGACTTAAAAAAAAGAGATCTATACTAAGAAGAATCTAAAGCTAGCACAAGTAGAGAATAAAATATAATAAAAATATAAGATATTCTATTATATATTTTGAGAACCTAAGTATTCAGAGTAGTAATATATATGAAAAGAGTTATGAATATCAAGATAATTCAAGAAGGTTATATAAAAATGAGAGCAAAAATTATATTCAAAGAATTTAGAATAAATAACCAAGAAAAAAAGTCCGAGCTATACCCTTATTAAACAATGTACTAGTTTATATTACACCAGAACTAAATAGAAGAGAAGTTCTTAAAAATTGAAAACAATATATTACAAGACTATATAATATTCTAAGAGAAGTTAATAAAGTACTTTTGTTTAGACAAATTAAATATATAGAAGCAAAAACTATACATATCTTCAAAAATACAAATAGAAATAATAAAGAATTTGCTTTAGTTTCTTTTAAAAGTAAAGAAGAGCTAGAGCAAGTAAGAAGATATAGTATATAATATTATGATACAAAACTCTTTAAAAGAATGCAAAGGTAATGCTAATGAAATATCATATAATAGAACAAAACAAAAGAAGATTAACTCAGAGCAAAAATAGAGAAGCAAAAAGTATGAACAAATTGATATAAATAAAAACAAAAGTATAGTAAATAGTAATGAGGAAAAAGAAAAATATAGAAAGAAAGAAAGTTTATAGAAAAACAAAAAAGAAGAAGCTAATAAGAAAAGAAAAACTAAAAAGAATAGTAGATACATAAGCAACAAGAAAGGCCAAGAAGATGCTAATATATCAATAGCATATGTAGTTCAACTTATTCATAGATTAGAGGAAAAAGTAAGTAAGTAGAAGTAAAATACTCCAAATTACTTCTGAGATTAGCCAAAATCTAATTACAAGATACCTATATAACTTATAAAGAAAAACTTAAGTATACAGAAAGGGTATATAATAAACTAAACCAAAACATTAATAGAAAGGCAAAGGAGTAAGAGGGAGATTTAAGAAGAATTAGAAATGAAGAGATAAGGTATTCATAAAAAAGAAAGTTAAAGTTAGAATATATAATATTAATAGACTAAAAGAAAACATATTAAAATTAGAATGTTTAGCAGAGTATTGCAATGAAGAACAATTTAATTTAGTAGGTATCATAGAAACAAATATAAGTGAGAAAGAAAGTAAATAGTTTAATACAAAGAATAAATCATATAAAAGTTTTTGAATGAATACAGAAGAAGATAAGAATAAAAGATCAGAAATTAGCCTTCTAGTAGACCAGAACTAGCTTTGATATATGGAAATATACAAGAAATTTAGCTTATATTTTCTCAAAGCTAAGTTTTATTTTAGAAAAGTTATGATACAGGCTTGAGTATTGTACATGCTACCTAAAAATAAAGAAGTAGCCAAAAAGATATATAAGACAATCCTAGAAGAACTTATCAAAAACAAAAAAAATATGTACAGTATAATAATGAAAAATTTTAATGCAGTACTCAACAGTGATTTAGATACTAGTAACAAAGAAAAATAAGCAAAAGATACAAATACAAAGATTATAAAATAGCTAAATAATTTAGATTATATTAAGTCTTTTTACTTCTGCAACTCAAGTTCTACTAAGTTTTCATAGACAAATAGCAATATAGCAATATGAATTAACTATATATAGTGTTGCTAAGATCTAAAACTATTTATCATAGAATGTGATATTGATAGTTTAAAAATAATAACAGATAGTAATCATAGTATAGTATAGATGCAATTAGATAGCATTAATCTATTTAAAAAAAAAAGAATAAGAACTAAGAAAAATTAAAGTGAAACAAAAAGAATTTATCTGTATTACAAAGCAACAAAAGAAGACTAGGAAGCATATAGCCAAAAAGTAAAATGTTTGCTAGTAAATACAAGAAAGAAACAAAGAAAACAATAGCATAGATTACAGAGTATAAAAAGTGAAAGCATTGATAAGAACTAGAAAATATTAGCTAAAGCAATAACAACAGCTGCAAATGAATATATACTATCAACAAAAGTACAAAATACAAAGTACTAAATAAGAAAAAAAACGTCTAAGTCAATAATACATAATAGAACTAAGATATTAGATAAACTATATACAGTATTTACAGTAATCGACATCAACCATAAATCTACTATAATCATTTCCAACACTAATTAAAGTATCACTTGTAACATTAACTTTCAAATCACCATTTACAGTATCTACTAAACTTTTTATAGCTTTAACACTAATTTTCAATTCCAATTCCATATCATTAGTTATTAAACTTTGTCTACTCTAAACTATTATTTGACTATTCATACCAAATTTTTGATTAATAATTCTAATTAATTCATCTTTCACTGTAACATTCGCATCAATCATTAAAAATCTTATCACTGTATTTAACGGGTTAAATATCTCAATTGAAGCTTTCCCTTTTTTATCAAATAGTGAATTAAATCTAATTGAGAAAAATGCTTTTTTTAGAATTGGTGTTTCAGTTGGCATAACTGTTGTCAATTCTAAAGTTTCAAAAGCTTCCCGTAAAGATTCTAAAGTAGTGGAATTTGTTGTTCCTTTAATTATTACATTATTTGTTTTTCCTGCCAAAAAAATTATTCAATAAATTTCGTCCAATTTGTTGTTCTTTGTCATTATTATTTGGTAAAAATTATGCAAGGGCTGTGAGGTTATTTTCACCACGATTAAGTTCAAGATTTTTGTTTCATTATATAATAAATCAAATTTGACATCACTATCAAGAACGACTTTAACATTTGATGGATTTAACATACTAACCAATAATTTAAATTCATAAATTCCAGTGATCAACTAATAACTTTTAAAGAATTAATTATTGTTGGTGATGATTTAAGACCTTGAATTCCTTGGAGTATTGTTTGAACTTTGAATTTTATTCTTTCAATTGTTACGTTACCAACTGATGTATTTGATATCAATATAATAATATATTTTCAACGAACTAAAACGGTATTTAAATAGTAAAGTATTCAACATATCCAAAAAATCCATAGTTCCCTTAATTAATTGATAAGAACTTACCCATTAGCCAATTTCTTTCCTCAGTTTACTCCTCCGCCATGTAATAAATAGCACATCAACATCTTCCATACAAATGCATTGAATCCACTTCACCCATCTTAATCACCACCTGTGCCTCTTTGATGAAGCCACATCTTAGCTAGCTTACATGCATCGTTAAATACAGGACAATCTTTTGAATTTTTATATAATAGGTTTAGATGAAAAACGCAATACATGTCTTTTAATATGGCAGAATTGTATTGCGGTGTTGACAGAAGGGAATCAGTGGATTGTTGTTTAGAAATTTAACCTTAATTCTGGAAATGTTGGGGACTAATATTATTGCGGGATGGTGAGAAGCGTTGAGGAGAAAATACATCCATTGGAATATAAGGTAATATTCGAATAATAAAATTAGGAATAAAAAATTCTATCTATATAGAATTCATAACACTTGTTAATTCAAATTATGTATGATTAACTCTGTGCAAACATAAGTTTAATTTAAATCACACCTTTAAGTAAAATAATTGAACGACGCCTATCTCCATCAAGTGCGCCAAATTCTACTTTTACGTTCAATGTTGAATTCTTGTCTTGCAAAGCAGCGGATAATACAGCAAGATAATATGCGCGGTTATAAAAATAACGGTTATTCATATAATCTTTTCTTTTTCTTTATTTTTAATTTAGCTTACTTAGATCTCATCTTGTTCTTTTCTTAGTTTATCTTTTTTCTCTCTATTTCTTCTAATTCTATTTTTGCCTGCTTTTCTCTTTCTTCTTTATTTATATTCTTGCTTTTTACTCTTTGCATCTCTTTTTGCTTATCACTATTCATTTTATTTGCTTTTTTTGTTAGTACTTCTTGATTTAGTTGCTTATACTCTTCTTTATTACTCTCAAATTTAGCTTTTGCTTCTTTATATCTTCTTTTATAGTTGAAATATAAGATATACTATAGATTTTCTTTTGCAAATCTTTTGTTAATCTTCTTAGGTGCTTAGTCCCTCTTAATAACCATCTAATACACTTTTCTTTTTGCTTCATATTATTTCCTAATACATTAATTGCTACTATTTTTGCTTTATATATGCCTTCTTCTTTATATGTATCTTTTTTGAATATCTATATACTTTTATCAAGTGATAAGCTATTATATCGTACTTTAATATATTTTTTGAGTTAATCAAACTTTTCCTTGACAATATTATTTCTTGGCTTGATTTTTAGGCTTTTATTAATTATTCTAATATCTTCTATTTTTTTTTCTTCAATCTCATTAATTTTATCTTGTTCTTCTAGTCTACTTACTTTCATCTCTACTTCAAAGCTTGTATCTTCTTCTTGTTTATGATTCTCTTTACTTGTTATTAGTTCTATTTGTATTTCTACTTCTATATTAATTATACTCCTTTCTTCTATAACTATTTCTTCTTGTTTATCTTCTTGTATCATTATCTTTTTTACTTTAGCTAGACCTTCTAATATTACAATTCTTCTCATTGCTCTTTCCATTGCCTTGCTACTGTGACTATTTTTTTATCAATTCTCATTGCTGATACAACTGCTTTATTGAAAAACTCTTCTATTTTTTCTGCTTCACTACTTCCCTCTTAGATTAATTCCCTTCTGTATTTTTCTATAAACCTTTTAGTAACTATCTTAGAATTTTTTTGTTCTATATATTAAGTTTATCTTTCTCTTAGCTTTGTTTGGGTTATTTCTATTTAATACTCTTGCTCTAAACTTATCTTTCTTGTTCTTACAAGTGACTTTGTCTTTTTTCTGAAATTCTTTGAGATTTTTCCTTTTTACTAGTAAAATATTCTGTTTTGATTAGACATATATGCTTCTACTACTTGATACATAACATATACAACTTCTCTATCTTATGTTTATTTGTTTATTTTAATTATACATATTTGTATTACAACAAATGATCTATATTACAGAGTATCTCTAATTCCTACTTTTCTAATAATTTTTTAGTTTTTCATAGTCTTTTTTTACCAAACTTCTTCTAGATTTCTGTTTTCTTATTCTTTCTCTTGCTTTCTACTTTTGTTATATCTATTTCTTAGTTTTTTCTTCTTTTTAATAGTGATTTTGCTACTATTTCTTAATAAAATTTTTGAGTTTTTAATTTTTTCTTTTAGCTCTAGAAATAGTTAAAATAATCGATAAAGAGAGTTCTGTATGCCTAATACTTATGATATTGCAGAATATTGTTTGCTTTAAAATATTATTCTTATTTTAATAAAATATCATTATGCTAATATTTAAATTATTATATTATTTAAGTGATATTAAGTCAATTTCATGTGAACTATAGCTAAATACTTGCACTTTAAAGATACTAATTTGTTATTTTATAAATATTATAATGCTGATACCTATATATGATAATATTTAATGATTGTTGTGAATTATATATATCAATATGCTAATATTTTATATTTAGCAGAGTTTTAGTAATATAAAGCTAAATATTATACTTTAATAAGAAATAATATTCATCTCTTTTATAAATATTGTTATAGCAATATTTATTTTGCTGATTTTTAATCAATTTAAAGACAAATATAGTCTTTTAAAAAATTGTAATATTCAGTATTTACACAAATATCAAAATACTGATTCTTGTTAATTTTGCTGAATATTATAACTAGAAAAACTACAATATTCAGTATTCATATTAAAAATTTTTTTTTAAGTTTTGTTATTTGCTGATATTTTTTCAATACTTTGCTATTATATGCTGAATTTTTGCTAATTATTGCAGTACTGAATGTTTCTATTTCAACTAGTGACTCTAATTTATATCTTAATTTTGTTTAAATTTATATTTTAATTTTGCTCAAATTTATATTTTAATTTTGCTTAAATTTATTTTTTAATTTTGTCTAAATTTATATTTTAAAATTTATTTAAATTATATTTTTTGCTCAAATTATATTTCTATATAAGTGGATTTGACATATTTTACTAATGTGATAATTTCAAAAAATTGATCAATATTTTTTAATTAAGCTAATCAAATTGTTTATTTTTATAAATATAATACATTTTATTAGTAAATTAATTTCCTATTTTGGAAAATACACATTAGTTGCAACTTGGTCTAAAAAGGAAATAATTAGTTTTTATAAATTTTGTTATACTGTACATATCATATTTATATTATCTATATTTGATATTGTACTTAATATAAGTAATAATAACGATAAAACAAATATAAATAAATTTATATTTCTTGAACCCTTATGCCTCAAAACTATATCAATATATGTCAAACATAATTTAACATTAATCAATTATTTTTAATTAACAATTCTAATAGTCAAAGTGAAAATTTCAAAAATTCACAAACTTTAGTTAAAGACAATTATCCTTTTATTTATATCACAAGAATAAAAAGTCAATAAAAAACAAACTATGTTTACAATATTCTTTTACTCAGTTTTTATCTATTAGAAATTAAAAAAATATAACATAACTTAATTAGTAAAATAATATATTGAATACTAGATAATTATTCAGTTTCATTAATAATATAAAATTCAAATTATATGTAAAACTTAATATCAAAATAGTAGTTTAGTAAAATTTACTATAAGTTGGATTAATTGTAAAAAAAAAAAAAAGTCAGTAGTTATAATTCAGCAACTGATATTAGTAATAAGTTTTTACAAGTAATTATTATTAAGAATATATATTTTGTTAAATAATATTATTACTATGTATTAAATAAAATTTGAACTATTTTATAGAAATTAGAAAAAACTAATAGCTATATCTCAGGAGTAATATTATTTGGATTTGATTTAGAATATTTAGAAAAGTAGCATGATCAATTAAATAATTCTTCAATAAATCGACAAAAATCTTTATAGAATTATCTCCCTCACAAACAAATAGACAACTTAATTTACTTGCAATAGATATTAAAGATAGTGTATAGTTATTATTTTTAAAATATAATTCAACTTCTTTAGAGATGAAAAAAATTAATCTCCAATATGAAGATAAAATAATTGAATTAAATTTTCAATCTAAGAAATTTATTGATATTCTAAATAAGCATCTTGATTCTATTATTTATACTTGTAATGATTCATTGATTTCAAGAGATAGTTTACACCAACTAGCAGTAATAATACCTGATATAGATCATGAACATTTAATAAGTCAATGATAAATAGAAATAAATAATATTATGAATCAAAAAATTCTAATTAATTCATTTGCTGAAAATAGTGTTTATCAAACAATCAAATTTATTTTAAATATTTTAATACCTTATTTAGTATCTGCTGAACTACTAATTTTAGTTTCTAATGATATAATTAGATTAAAACTTGGAGAAGATAGTTATTAAGTAGGACGTCAACAAAATCATGTATTACTTACTATGTGTATTCTTAATAAAAAAGAATCAGTATTATTTCTAAAAAATCAATACAGGTATATTAATTTTAATAATTTATATTGTATTTATTTAAATATATTAAAATTAATTAATTATATAGTATTTGTCTTTATATTAGAACTGAAAAACACAAGTTACTTGCAACAGCTTTTAGTTTATTTACTGAAGAATTAACTAATTTATCACAAAATAGATTTTATGATTCAGATAATAATAAGTAGCCTATAGAATTTTGGTTTTCAGGTGATTAGAAGTTTGCTACTCTAGTTATGAGTATTAATGCTCCAATATCTAATTTTTTTTGTCTTTACTGTAATTGTGAATAAAAAACACATTAGGATATGAATCAAACTTAAACCAACTCAGTTAATACTAAAGGAAAGTATGTTTTAGATTAAAAAATTATTATTAATTTTTAGTAAATAAATTATTTAATTTAATAGGACAGAAATATCTAAGTCTTTTAACTTGCATTCTATAAGACCATTTTATTTCTGATGAATTATATTTAATGCTACGAATTGTTGATATTTTATTAGAATATTTTTTCTATAAACTTATAAAAGATCTATATTTTAATCATTTGCCAAATTCTACTAGTATTACTAATAATACAACTATTTGGCAATGTATTGAATTATTAATGCAATCACTTGGTATTACTTTTTAATTTTATAATCCTGAAACACTAGGAGCAAAGTTTAAATAGATATCACTAATAGGCCTAGCAAAAAAAGTACTTATAGAAAAGTTTCCAGTAGCTTCTTTTATTGCTAGACAGCGTGAAAAAGATATTAAACAATTATGACAAAGATTTTTTTTTTTTTTTTGTTATTAAGGCTACTTCCTTGGCCGATTAGATTTTTATTAGTTTGTTATTGCGGAACTATCACATGAACAGTTTCCTAAGGTTTTACAGTTATATGATGAGTGTACAACAAGCTACACATACAACTTTAGTCATTATCTAATTTAAGTAGTCTGCTATACAGACGATCAA